TTCCTTTTTTTTCCCAAAGCATATTAAATTATAGCAAAGGAGTGAAACCAGAAGAGGTCAACAATGACATAGATAATTCTAGGGACAGTATTGCTTGAAGAGAGTTTGACTGAATTTCTTTTTTTTTTTAATTATAGAAGCTATATTTTTAATGCAATATATGCTCAAAACCTTTCTTTTTTTTTTTTTTTCTTTTTTGTCTTTTTCGTTTTTATCGGTACCAGGGATCGAACTCACGACTGCCTGCTTGCAAGGCAGGTGCTTATGCCGCTGAACTAAATCCCCAGCCCCTCAAAACCTTTCTAGACAGTATTTTAAAACATAAAATATCTCCAAAATATTCAACTAATGATAACATAGATAATTTTTTATGTAAGTGAAATGTTACAGGATGTTAACAGTAAAGTTCTGATCAGATTTTTTAAAGCCCAATGTACGGAAATTTGTGAGCTTCCCGTACAAAACAGCATAACCTTACTCATGAGCCAATCTCACAGTAACACTGGGAATCCTCCACTAGTTCCTGAGTGCTTTCTTCTGGCTATTCGGGTTGCAGACTTATTTCTGCTTGTTCCTTTGGTTTTTCAGTTCTTCTGGCCTGAGACACTTTCCCATCTTAGCACGATCTCTCTGCTTTTTCTCATAAGGGCTGACTAGTCTCCTCTTAGCATCCAGCCTGTAGGTTCCATGTTGCTCAGCATCATTCACGTCAGTAACCAGCAGTCAAAGAATTTCCTCAACCTGGCTCGCATTTTGCTTATGTATTTTGAACTTCTGCTGTGATTCTACTAGCCGTATCCTCATGGAATCGTTGCATTCATTTTCCCCCAGGAAAAACAAGACAAATCTTGACAAAGCTTCACAAGAACAAAAACCCTTAGTTTCACATACTTGTGCATGTGTCTTCCACCATAACATCAAGAACCAAAGAAGACACAGTGTAGTATCTATGACAGTTTCACGAATTTGAGCACCACGAAGAAACTAGAAGAGTACAAATGTAACACCCACTCAGAAATTGAACTAAAGTTAGTTCATTTTCCTGAACGTCTAAATGATGGGGAAAGATGGAAGGGAACCAGAAAGTAGGAGGAAGCCACAGCAAAACCCCTGGGAAGAAGGTGATACAATCAAGGGGTAAGCCAGTGTTGCTTTCAAACTCTCAGACAGAGAGAGACTCACAACACTAAGAAAAAAGCTAGGATTAAGCAGAAACAGAAATGGTAGTAAAATGCAAGTCCAGTTGGAGAGTGGGAACGGGCTCTACTCAGGCTTCTCATGTGGTCACCTGCCATTTTCACTCTGGCATTTGAAGATACCCCACTGGCGGAAGGTCAGCCTCTCTCCCACCTTACAGTGACTCCTGCCAGGAAATGAACTGTGTCACTGCACACTGAGCTCTGATGCAGTTTCAGAGTGTGTCACTTGAATCTAACTGGATAACTAACACCAGAGCAAAGGCTGGTATGAGTATGTAGTGGGGATCTGCATCTAGGATACCACAACAGTGAGCACATTTGACATCTGTATCGTAATTTGGTATGCTTGATAGTATCAAGTCTAAGAGTAGAGGCAACTACTCTGAAGATGACAAGATGCAATAAGATACCCATTCCAGGGGCTGGGGGTTTAGCTCAGTGGCGTAAGCACCTGCCTTGCAAGCAGGCGGTCGTGAGTTCGATCCCCGGTACCGATAAAAAGGAAAAAGACAAAAAAATATATATATTAAAAAAAAAAAAAGATACCCATTCCACTTTGATTATTAACTGCTTTTGAGGTCATACAATGTCTCCAATGTTGTGTTTTTATTAAAATAGCTATGTAATGCTATGTTCAATTATAGTATGTCTGATGATGTAGACAATTCTATTGAAAATAACAAGACACAGCATAGTAACTACTGTAGATCACCTAGTATTGTATATGTATGTATTTATGGCTTTATATGTATTTTTCGTTTCACGTTTTTCTAGGATTTTGTTTTGATCTGTTTTTCTCTATAATACAGAAAGGACAGGTATACATATAGAGATTCACACATGTGTAGAATTTCTAAAGAGTTTACAAAAATAGATTATATAATGCACTATGTAATGAACAAATACTCTGAAGAAGACACTAAGATACCCAGTGCTAATTCTGTAGCATTATGATATAAAATCCAGCAATGCTATTATTCACTGTTCAGTGATATTAGTCTAATCTCATGTTTAATTTCAACATACATAAAAATATGGACACCTATTTCGAAGAGAACAAGAGACATTATGGCAGCCATTGTTGACTTCCTTATTGTCTGGTCTTGAAGACCTAAAGTGCCTTCATCATCCTGTTCTGATCAGTTTAGTATTATATTATTCAGTATGTATGCACTGTGTGTGAAGATGTGGACAACTATTTGGAAGAAAACAAGAGACAATATGATAGACAGTGAAGATCTGCAGTGGTCTTGCTTTGAAATCTGTGTTTCTTAAATTGCTTCCTTATGATCTTTTTTGTTCTGTTTTGTTATAATTTTACCCTTTTTAAAATAAAAAATTTAATAAAAAAAGAAAACTAAGAATCCATTAACTCATACTGACATATATGTCACGACAAGCAAGCAAACAAAAATAAATGGAGAGAAGACAAAGTGTTTTTCTTACAGTAAAATGCCAAATAGTAACTGATAATTTTGTATTTTTATAAAATCAGAAACTATAAATGATTCCTAATTAAAGGTTAAAAGCTTAATAAGAAACATATTTATGGAGTATCAAGAATTGACATATGAATTATCAGCTACAAATTTATAGCAAATTAAACCTGAAGAACACTACTTTCATCAAGTGACAAAAGTTAAGATCACCCAAACTCACAAAAATGAGCGTAACGCATTCCTGATGTCATGCTCTGAGGATGCAGCTTCGCTTCTGTGGCATTTCAACCCAGAAAAGCATCATGTGAAGCTAGTTATGAGAAAAGGTGGGCAGGCAGAATTAAGGGACTTTCTACAAAATAATTAGCCAATATTCTTCAAATTGAATGAAGTCAATAAAGAGACAGGTCAATAACTGGTTAAAGAACACCAGAGAGACATACACTGTGCTGCACTGGACCCTGGACTAAGGAAAAGAAAAGGTCACTGACCGTGGACTAAACCTGAGTATGCACAGAGAATTAGGCACTAGTGTGATATTACTATTCAGTTCTCTAACTTTCCTAATGTTCATGATTATACTGTCCTTGTTCTTAGGGTAATTGTCATTATAACATAATGCCCACTTCATGACAAACATTTCATAAATGTGGGCATGCAGGACCTTTATATATATAAAGATATATATGTTGGCAGATATATATATGTGTATATATATATATATATATATATATGAACACATTCATATATATATGACAAACTGTAAACAGCTAATAAACCACATACGCAGGATTTTTGCTCCATTAATATAACATCTGTACGTCTGAATGTTCAAATTTTTTAAAAAACTGATGCAATATAAGACAATTATGGCGTAGGAAAGTAAATGTTATCTGTAATGACAGAATCTAGACATTTGAGATTGGTAGAAGTCCTAAATTATCCATTCAGTAGCTTGTACTCTGGAATGTATGAAATTTACCAGTGATGACCCATGCTTTTCCAGATAGCTCTAGTCTTTTTTTTAATTTCTTTCTTTCTTTGCAGGCTTATCTGTCTTGATATATTCCTTGCTTCTTCTCATGACCATATCTATTTAACCAAACTCCCAGAATGAAAGTTTAAGCTATGTGTGTGTGTGTGTATGTGTGTATGGGGGAGGGGGGGTCTGATCACAGGGTGTCCCACACTTTGAGCTCTGGGAAGGAAATGAGAAAGAAATATCCTTCTTTGGACAATTACTCATAGCCCATCAATTGGTTATAAAATAGAAGAATATTAAATACTGTGTAATATTAAGTATATCTACCTCCTCAGAGACAGAACTGTGTTTTATTTATCTCTGTACTTCCAAACCTTATGATAGCATTTGTTGGTAGGTATCTGTCGAATGAGTAAATATTTTCTTAATATTTATTGGTCAGTTTCTTGGAGCAGCTTATACCTTGCTAAGGTGTTTTTATCACTACAAAATTCTTAACACAGTGACTAGAATCCCATAATTTGGGTGCATATTATGAAATTTACAATGAACTATACAATATTTTACACCCGTAAAGAGAGATTTAACGAGTCAAGTCAATAAGCAATTAATTGAGCAGCTGCTTAGAGGCAAGAGTGCAAAAGTACTTCACACGTGAGTGAATGGGCTTTAATTCAAAACATAAAGTACTTTGCTTCTGTAGAGTGTTTTGCTTCTAAAAAGAGACATTTCTCTGTAAGCAAGACAAGGACCATTTTCTAAGTACAGACCACAAATCATCTCAAGTACTTTTGATAGCAACTATCATTCCACAGAACAAATGCCTCATCTTTTATCACCAGCTATATATATAATCAGAGATGAAGAAGGTGGAGATAATAAAACCCATCTATTGAAAGGGGGAGAAAATATGATGTAATGTCATAGTTGGATTTTCTTTATTGAGCGAATTCCTAAAGATATAGCCTCTTACCTAAGTTAATTTAGCCATAATTTTCCCAAGAATTGTGAGGTTCACTGGCCAGAGATGAGATTAAAAACTGAAAAGACAAAATGAATCAAAATGGAATCACATCACCAATCAAAGGAGAGAAGAAATTTATTTCTTAGCATCTAACAACTAACAAAGATTCCTGATCATAATCACCACAGAAAAATAACAACTGTAATGTACTGGGAATAAATTTGAGACACACCTAAGGGATGTTTGAAATTGAAATCTCTATATAGGGAGAAAAAACAGCTATGAATCATTCCAACCTGTTTGCGCAGTCTAAAGTCAAAACAAAAGTTGGGTAAAGTGAATCATTACAGGTTTAAAAAGCTTAATGAATTCAAGAACATAAAAACACAGTAAAATAAATGGCCAGGACAAAAATGTGCATGCTTAATTAGATTTATTAAGAGACTAAAAGTAAAGTCAATGCCTTCCCACACCCAACTGCAAATACATTGATGCTGATATAGAAGTTAGTAATACATGAACAGAGCAACCCCAGGAGGCAAACTATCGCTTCACTGCTAAGTTGAGTGTCTGAAAGATATATCTTGCTTTCTCAGGCTGTAAATGACAGTGAGCTTGACATCCGAGTCCTGAGTGACCTGTCCATTAACATGGAAGAGCAAGACTTGGGTAAGCGACAGTCACATCTCTTCAGCACATCTCTCCAGCAGGAAGATAGTTGCTGCTCTTCAGGTTGGTCCTTGTGTAGAGAATCGATCGGGAGGCCTGTGGTCGGCAGCGCCACTCACCCATCAGTAGGTGCTGTAGCCGAAGCCAGAGCCGGAGCCCCATGGCCTGTAAAAGCTGCTGCCATAGCAACCGCCATTGCAACCTTCTAAGCAGAAGTTCCGGGAGCTGTAGGGACTCCATCCAAAACCGGAGTGGAGGGGAGAGCCCAGAGGCACAACGTTGTTCAGGGTGGTGGCCCTGTAGGTCCCGTGGAAGTTGGTTCCATAGCAAGGATAGCCTGGGAAGTAGCTTCCACAGCAGAAATAGCGAGTCATAGTGGAGGGAGTTGAGAAGGAGTTGGATAGATTGTGAAGGACAAGAACCCAAGAGCGAATGAAGGTCTCCTCTGTGCACGGGTTTTTATACCTCCAGCTGCTGGGCGGGACATGCCTGTCTACGCATCTTCCTAAAGATTTGCATAAACAATCCTATTATTTTCTAACAAAATGCATATAAAAAGCCCCACAGACTGCTTGCTCATGGCTTTCCTGTCTCCAGAGGAATGCACACCATCTTCAAAGCGACCATCCTTGACATGAAATGGAATTTGTTTCATTAGTGTACCTCAGTTTACTACATTCTGGTGGCATTAGGTGAGACTCTTTCTGTCTTGTGATTACAAACCCTCCCACCTGACACAGCCAGGCTAACAGCTTTGGCAAGAATACAAGCATTTCAGATCAAGACTAAGCCATATAGTAAGGTATTTTGAGACTTGAATAACATCATTTCAAAACAATTCGCTGTTCTACAATCTCTTGAAATTCACTTCCTGTATCACTCTTAAACATTGGTATGCCAACTGTTTTATGAGTACAGAATTTCTTTTGTAGATGAAAAAATTAATTTAGAATTAGGCAGAGGCTGGGGTTGTAGAATGTCATGAATTTACCAAATACCACTATATGCTTCATTTTCATGTAGAAGTTATTCTAGATTAATTTAAAAATAGGTACATGTGTTCACAGTCTTTGTGATAAGGCAGCCCATGTATACCACAAATCTTAAAGTCTTTATTCAACCCTTTTCCTTCCCTCCCTAACATCCATTGATACCCCTCCTTTTTTTTTTCTTGGTACATATTGCAGTATATAGTGTTTACATACTTTATGTGGAATTGGTACATGTATTTAACACTTTAAATGGCTTGTATTGTGTTATGTAAATTTATCCTTTTTTGTCTTCAAAAGCATTGCCACAAAAATCCATCTGACAAGTGTTTTTACACAGCCTGCAAGAGTTCCAAATAATAAAGAAGGTATGGACAATCTACTACTAATTTTCTTCAATTTCATTTATGAGCATCTTGCTTGTTAACACATATTTCATTTTTTATGGAGCACACACAGCCTTTTGCAATAAATCATCATCGATGATGCAAAACTATTTTGTTGTGGAGTTGCCATGCCGGTGTTAAATAAAATGATGCTCAATTTCAAAGTCATGTAATACCATGCTGGGTTTTTATTGAGTCCTCATTAAAACAGGCCCTAATGCCTAATCTGTTATGGGATAAAAGTTATATTTAAGAAGGATACATTTCCTTATATTACTGTTCAAGTTGTATGACCATTCCTGACGATAAAAATCAAACTGGGAAGAATCTGAGCTCAGCAAAGCTAAATCTATCCCAATGCCTAAGAGATAATCTATTTCATATGCAAGTATGAGTTTGGAATTCCTGAAAATAAAAGAATAAAGAGACCTAGAAGAGCAAAGGCAATTCTAGGAAGCAAAGGCAAGGCAGGAGGCATCACAATCCCTGACTTGAAATTATACTACAAAGCTGCTGGTATTGGAATAGAAACAACATGGTATTGGAATAGAAACAGATCTGAAGATCAATGGAATAAACTAGAAAATACAACCACAACTACAAACACACTCAACCACCTTATCTTTGATAAAGGGGCCAGACATATTTACTGGAAAAATGACAGTCCCTTTAATAAATGGTGCTGGAAAAACTGGCTCTCCATATGCTGAAAACTAAAACTAGACCCATGCCTATCACCATGTACTAAAATAAAATCTAAATGGATCAAAGATCTGAATATTAAAACAGAAACACTAAATCTGTTGGAAGACAAAGTAGGTAAACATCTTGAAGACATTGTGGTAAGTGGAGAATTCATGAATAGGAATCAAACCGCAGGGGAACTACTTCCCAGAATCAGTAACTGAGATCATGTCTTATTAAGAAGTTTCTGCATGTCAAAAGAAATCTCCAGGATAGTGAAAAGAAAACCCATAAACTGAGAAAAAATCTTAGTGAACTGTCCCTCAGACAAAGATCTTCAGTCTAAAAATATAAAGAATTACAAAAAAATCAGACCCCCAAAATTCAAAGACCCAATCCAAAAATGGGCATCTGAGATGAATACATAGTTCTCAGATGAAGAAATACAAATGGCAAATAAATATATGAAAAAATGTTCATCATCATTAGTCATTATAGAAATGCAAATTAAAGCAACACTGAGATTCCATCTCACTCCAGAAAGAATGGTCAGGATCAAGAAAACCACCAACAACAAATGCTGGAGAGGCTGTGAGGAAAAAGGAACTCTCCTGCACTGTTGGTGGGAATATAGACTGGTGCAACCACTGTGGAGGTCAGTCTGGAGATTCCTCAAAAAGCTGAAACTGTAGGTCCCATTCAATCCAGCTAATCTACTTCTAGGCATATTCCCAGAAGAACTGAAAATATCAAACCACAGTGATATATGTGCACCTATGTTTATAGCAGCACAATTTGTAGTAGCCAGATTTTGGAAACAACCTAAGTGTCCATCAACTGAGGAATGGATAAAAAGCTGTGGTATTTTTATACAATGGAGTACTGCTCAGCTGTAAAGAATGATCACATTGAGATATTTGCTTATAAATGGGCACAACTTGAGACCATACTCATAAGCAAAATAAATCAAACTCACATGTATAAATACTGTATAGTCTCCCTAGTGTAAGAAATGGTAAGAGTACATAAGAGTTTATGGTAATCATGATTCCCCATTATATTGTTTTGAAACCTTATCATGAACACATTGGTTAGTTGTAATGGGTTTATCCTTGTTTGTTTATTAACTGTGATGGTATGAACAGCTAATCTGAGGGAAACAAGTCATTATAAGAGCCAGTACCGGAACAGTATCACCTTACTATGAAGTCCTACCATGCTTTTGCTCTTCCATTTCCATTGGCTCTATCATATGGTACCTTCTTGGATTGTATTACGTGTGAAAGTATAAACAAATTTCCTATGGAAAATGAGATAATATAGTAGCCATTGTTTGTTTTCTGCTATTTGGTTCTGAATGCCCTGTGATACTCTCATTCTCGTGAATGTTTTCATAGTATTTTGTTATGTTTGACACTATTGTACATGAAGTTATACTCCACTATTTCAAAGAAGGAGACATTGTGGTAGTCACTGTTAATTACGGGTTGTCTTCTAGTGAAATTGTGGGTTGCTTACATTGTACTGTTCTAATCTGCTTTTTTATGTCCTGTTTTGTCTTAATCCCTTTAAAATAAAAAGAGGAAAAAAAGAAAAGAATAAAAGTTCTCGACTACAAGTTTCTTTTGCTTCTTCCTCCTTCGTGGACAATCATAGTCTCCCACAAGCAATAGTGTTCCTAGCAGTCATCTGTCTGGGTACTAAGATTCTACTTCACTCAGGTTCTCTGACAAGAAGTTGTGACTGGACATTGTATAAATAGATTTAATTTCTTTCATTCTATAAATTTCTTAGGTGGTGAGCGAGTTTATATTTAAAATATAAAACCAAAGCCTATCTTCAAATTAAAATTTTAAGAAAAAGAATAAATTGAAAAGCAAGTTATCTCACGTCAAGCACATGAATTTAGCTCTTTCTTTAAAAAACCCAGAAAACTGAAAAGTACCTTTGTGAGCAGAAGAGGACAATGATGACTGCAAAGTAAACGTAGCTAGATGTGGTTACTTGAAAATTTGAATTTTGCTGATTCTACCATGCCAAAGTGGAACCTGCAATTTGGATACTGTGCCACAAGGTGGCAGTAGGATTTCGGTTACTGGTTCTGACCTGCAGAAGGAGATGGAGTTGTAATATAAGTAGGCAGAAAAATCCACTTTAAAAAAAGTTCGGAATTTAGACTTTTGAGGAGCCCTTCTCTCCTACCACCATCGCGAGCTTCTAGAAACTTCTATTTTTAAGGAGCATCTCAGATAATTCTCATGAATAAACCATCCTGCTAAATCCCAGGCCCGATTTTTCATAAGATTGCAAAAGCAACCGGCTTTGCTGGCTGTGTGAAATCACCCCAAGCCACTTATCTCTCGTTGGCAGGCGAGCTCGTCTTCAGGCTCTGGCGGCCTTTTTCCTTTTACTCCGAGTGATGGAGATAACTAAGAAAAATGCCCGAGCTGGTCTTTGCCTTTCCTCTGTGTTCTCCGCTTCTTGTCAGGTTAGAAAGGAAACGTAGCCGCTAAGTATCCAATCAGCTTCCCAGAAGTAAAACCCCTCCTGACGGTTTCTGATTTCGTTATAGTAAATCAAAAAACTGAAATGGATTTTCTCCCTTGCTTGTGTCTCCACCCCCATCTATTAGACTTTCCCAGAGAAAATTCTCTGGGAATTTGTTATTCAGTAGTTGTTTCTATTTTAAATATTAATAACAACAACAAATATTTGTGGATGGCTTATACTGTGCTAGGCTCTTCTCTAAATCCTTTATGTATATTACTTATTTCTGTTTTACCTGTGCATGTAGCATGGGAACTTACTATACACTCTTCCAACCACTTAAAAAATGTTACTGTTTATAATGATCTTATGGTGCAGACATTATGATATTTTATAAGAAAATTGGTTGCAAACCATTTTGGTAAACTTCCCAGAGTCCTATGGTCAGCAGGCAGCAGAATCCTGTTCGAAACTCATGGCATTTCACTCCAGAGCTATGCTGTCAGGTGCTTTATTAAACTGAACATTTTACAGCTTGAGTTTATAAAGTTCTTCAGATATACAATTCACCGTGTCTGTTTCTAGAAGAACATATCAGTCAGGAAAGGCTCATTTGAGCTACGGGAACAAACAGTGCTGAATCTCTGTGCTTTGAAAGATCAGAGTCCATTTCATGCTTATGCCAACATCTTTCTGGGTTGATGAATAACTTAGAATCATATCATTGTCATTCAGAGGCTTAGGGTAACAGAACTTTCATTTTTCTGAAATAGACGATGGAAGAGAATGGAACACACCACCTACAGACACACACTGTCCTAAAGATGTTCACCAAATATCATGTATTATTGCCATGCTTTTATTCATTTCCTAAAGCAAATTACACATCCATGTCA